CATAACACACAAAAAATGATTTGATTTTTTCATTTTTTGTACAGTTTTCAAACTTCGGGTTTTGCTAATAAACCTGGCAATGAAGGGGTTAAATCTGAGAAACACACACATATTTTATTATATTTTGTTAGGGCTGAAGCCAAGGATGAAATTCATGTAAAAAAATTGGGACTTATGAAATATTATATAATATTTCTATGGGAAGCTTTCTAAGTGCATTTTTTTGTGCTCTAATGACTTTAACGTTAGAAAATTTAAACGTTGGGTAAGGGTTAAATAACAAAAAATGCACAGATATCCCTGCAGGCTGGCTGCACGTTTTCCGAAGCCGTCTGATAGTTTTTCCTAACTAAAACATCAGTTCTGTGAGAGAGATGCACGCATTCTGACACCTTAGCTTGTTTGAACTAACGTGTGCAATCAGAAACATTCAAAACATTTTTAAAAGAGAAGTTGAGCTTTCAATTCAACTAAAGTTCGCGACTCGGCACCTGCAATGATGAAGCATAAACCAGGCTTTAGAAATCAGCCTGAACCTGCTGATGTGGGAGGAGTCTCTCTCTCTCTGTCCTGGGCTCACCTATGGTGCCATTATTATGGGCTCTAGCAGCGCTGTGTGTGAGAACATAAAACAGGGGACATAACCTGAACATGCAGCTCTGCCAGCTGTGGAGTTGGGCTTGGCTCTGGACGGTACACCCCACCCCCTCCTCCGCACAGGATTTTGTTGCCGCCATAACACAGGGGGAAAACCCCGGATGTAAAAAAAAAAAAAAGTTACACAACTGATCCTGTATCAGTCAAAACTGCTAAAATTGTAGCTTTGACGGTCACATGATCGTGCTGTTTGAAATCGCAATTTCGGTCCAAAAGTGATAGATCGCTCAGCCCTAGTGTAAAGCTCGTTTTTAATTCTCATGAAGCGCACACACTGTTGCACACAGCTGCAGCGTCACTTTCTTTCTCACTGGACGAGTGAATATCTTTACCAGAGGAGGAATATTACTCTTCAGAAGAGTCCGCCATTAGAACATCAAACAGACCTGTCAGCATTTTAAGTTTTTCCTCCAATATTCATCCTCTGGGAGCTCCGCTTGTCTCCTCTCATCCTCTCCTTAGTCGGGAGCCTCCCAACGGGAGGCAGTTTTCAAACTCTATAAACTTTAAAAGTGTCAATAGAAACACCCAAAAGTGTTGCTCAGATTGAAGTTACAGATTTCCACTACCCACTGGTGTAAAGTAATAACTTCATGAGGAATCATATTTGCAGCTGTGGCTCATTAAACCCAGCTATGATGCTTGTCGCAATATTGCGACTTGGGCGCTTAAAGGGTTAATTTTACAGTCTTCCTCTGCATGACTTTCAGTTATAAGCCTGTACATTATAATTTATTTATAATTCATTATTATTTAATGTACACTGGTGGGGTCAAGTGAAACATTAAGAGTATATTGTGCTTTGTTACGTCAGTGCTAAATAAATATTTTCATAATTTAGTTGTAACGCCTTGATTTTAGGGGCACATCATAGCCATAAATGCTATGGTTCTAATTATTGACATAATAGTTATTTTTTTTCTTTCGGTTTTTGGCCATAGTTTTCTCATTTTTGGTTTTGGCCAAGAATATTTATTTCGGTGAAACCGTAGAAAATATTTAACTATTTCTGAACATTATCCATTCCATTCTCGCGCTGCTCTGGGTGGCTGCATGTTGGAGTAGCTCTGTTAACTACATTTAAGTTTTGCCTTTTTTGGACATTTTTTCTTCTAGCGTCTTAAAAAAACTATTTTGTTTGGACCATTTACTTTTCTGTTTCTGGTGCTGTGAAGCTAGAGGATTTTTACTGCTATTTTTTCACTTTTTGAGCATTTGTTATGATGCATAGCCATGGCAACAAGCTGGTTTCCAATCAGGAGCAGCTGATTAACATTGGAGAGGCTGAAATAATACCTCAATTGAAACCACAAATCCCAAATGAGCTAAAACGAAAGAAGTGTGGACGCAGAGCGGGAGTAAAATGGAGACAGAGAAAGAGGAAATTCAAACCATCTCTTCCATCGATCATAATGGGCAATGTGAGATCACTGGCCAACAAGATGGATGAACTCCAAGCCCTTTCAAAGACTCAGCCAGTTTCGGCAGTGCAGTGTTATGTGTTTCACTGAGACGTGGCTGCAGGACCATATCCCCGATTCCAGCGTCTCTCTGCCAGGATTCCTGACTGTACGAGCAGAAAGAGATCTGAAGAGGAGTGGGAAAAGAAAAGGAGGTGGAGTGGCAGTGCTTGTCAACAATAGATGGTGCCATCCATGTCATATTTCAGTGAAATGTCGTCTCTGCAGCCCAGATGTTGAACTCTTGGCAGTAAGTTGTCGCCCATATTATTTGCCAAGAGAGCTCAACAGTGTTGTCTCTACAACGTTTATATTCCACCTTCAGCCATTGCTGAAAATGCATGTGATGCCATCAGTTCCGTTGTCACGAAGCTACAAACCCAGCACCCCAATGCATTTGTGGCTATATCTGGTGATTTTAATCATGCCTCGCTCTCTGCTTCACTTCCAACATTTCAACAGTTTGACAGCTGCTCCATCAGAGAAAACAAGACATTGGATTTATGTTATGCAAATGTAAAGAATGCAAACATGTCCAAAACAAGACCTTCTCTGGGACAATCAGATCACAATCTTGTTTTTCTCTGCTCAGAATACGAACCACTTGTTCAGAGGCAACCTGTGACAAGAAGAACTGTGAGAAAATGGTCACAGGACATTGAAGAAGCCCTGCAGAGTTGTTTTGAGACCACAGATTGGACGATTCTCTGCCAAGGATATGAAGAGGACATCAATGCCATGACTGGATGTATCACTGACTATATAAACTTCTGTGTGGATAACATCATACCCACCAGAACAGTGAGACGCTTCGCTAATAACAAACCCTGGATCACCAGTGAACTGAAGAATCTGCTAAATGAGAAAAAAGAGCCTTCAAGGAGGGAGACAGGGAATTATTGAGGAGTATACAGAAGCAACTGAAGATCAAGATAAGAGACAGCAAGGAGGCATACAGGAAGAAGCTGGAGAACAAACTACAGAGGAACAATTTCAGAGATGTCTGGTCAGGGATGAAGAAGATCACAGGCTTCAAGCAGAGGAAGGATTGCACAGATGGCAGCCTGGACACAGCCAATGAACTGAACAAGTTCTTCAATAGGTTCAGTTCAGGAACAAATCCAGCATCCTCCTTGCCTGTCCCCATCCAATCAGACATCCCATCCTCCTCTGATCCAACATTTTCCTGTAACACGCCAGCTCTTTTGTCCTCTAACGCAGTCATGGACTCTTCTGGTTCTATAAATCTGTCTTCAACCAAGTCAGGAGATGCTGCTGCCCCCTTTACCTCCCCCTCCCACCTATCTGTCTCTAGAAGTCAGGTGAAGAGGCAGCTGGTGAGACTGAACAGGAACAAGGCTGCAGGTCCAGATGGTGTCAGCCCCAGGGTACTGAAGGCCTGTGCAGAGCAGCTCTGTGGGATTCTGCAGCACCTCTTGAACCTCAGCCTGGCCCAGGAGAAGGTTCCAGTCCTGTGGAAGACGTCCTGCCTTGTTCCAGTTCCAAAGAAAACTCGCCCATCAGTCAATGACGACCACAGACCGGTTGCCCTGACATCCCACATCATAAAGACTCCTGTTGGTCCACCTGAATAAGCAAACTAGAACATATCAGGACCTGCTGCAGTTTGCTTATCGCCATGGAGTTGGAGTTGAAGATGCCATCATCCAGCTGCTTCAACCAATCCACTGTCATCTGGACAAAGCAGGCAGCACTGTCAGGGTCATGTTCTTTGATTTCCCCAGTGCATTTAACACAATTCAGCCTGATGTACTTTGCCAGAAACTCCAGATGACACAGGTGGGGGCCTCAACTATCGCCTGGATTAAAGACTACCTGACAAACAGACCACAGTTTGTGAGGCTGAAGAACTGCACATCAAACCAGGCGATCAGTAACAGTGGAGCACCACAGGGGACTGTACTCTCACCATTCCTTTAAACCCTGTACACCTCAGACTTCCAGTACAAATCAGAGACCTGTCATCTACAGAAATACTCAGATGACTCTGCAGTCGTCGGGTGTATCAGAGATGGACAGGAAGCTGAGTACAGAGAGCTGGTGGAGCGCTTTGTGGCATGGTGTGAAAACAATCATCTGACCTTGAACGTGAACAAAACAAAGGAGATGATTTTAGACTTCAGAAGAAACAGGGTGGAGTCAAACACTGTTTCCATCATGGGAGAAGAAGTGGAGGTGGTTGAGGAATACAAATACGTTGGAGTTCACCTGGACAACAGACTGGACTGGATAAAGAACAGCGAAGCTGTTTACAAGAAGGGACACAGCAGACTGCACTTCTTGAGGAGGCTTAGGTCCTTCAATGTCTGTAGCAAGATGCTGCAGATCTTCTACAAGTCTGTTGTTGAGAGCGTAATCTCTTCAGCCATCGTCTGTTGGGGTAGTAGCATCAGAAGCAGGGACTTGAAAAGGCTCAACAGCCTAATAAAAAAGGCTGGTTGTGTTCTGGGGACGACTGTGGAACCACTGGAGGAGATAATGCAAAGAAGGATTCTCTAGAAAATCAAGAAAATGATGGACAACCCTGAGCATTCTCTTCACAAGACTGTCCGACAACGGAAGAGTGTCTTCAGTCAGAGGCTTCTTCAGTTTCGCTGCAACACTGACCGCTACTGGAGATCCTTCCTGCCAACAGCCATTGTAATATACAATAACTCTTTGATGACTTGATTATTATTATTATTCTGAGCTACTGCAGCAATCAATTTCCCTCTGGGATTAATAAAGTATTTTTTAATTGAATTGAATCATGTCACTGATTAGTCTTCTAGCTTCCAAATGAGATGTGTTTCAGTTTACAAATACTTTTACTCCATTCAAAACTAAATCTGTGTGAGCCAGCAGTGAGTTAAAGTTCTGCACCTCAAAAGTGGACTTCTCCCGGTTGTTGAACAGCATGAGGATGGTCATTTGGAAAGTTGACACCTGCAGGATGTGCTTCCTGGTATTAGAGCCTGTTACCTGGGCCCCTCCCACTACGACCTCTGACCCATCCTCCTGTTGACATAAGTTCGTTATGCAGCAGATCCAGTTCCACAAAGACCTCTCCAAACAGCTTACATGGTTGCGAAATCAACATATTCTGACGTTGAAAGTAAAGTTTATTAATTCTGTAAATAACGCCTACAGCAACACATTTAGCCATCCTAACCCTATAAAATATAACAAATAAATAGGTGAAACAAGTGGCACCTACCTTTCTGATGGGACCGTAAAAGGTGGCATTTAAATCAGCGGAACCCATATGGTGCTGGAGGGTGAGTTGTCTCCCACTGTGCTTACCAAGGTAAAACCTGCAATCAGACAGGAAACAGGTCAGCTGTTAACCTCCAAGTGTTACTGATGTAGCAGAGCTAATGTTAACTGGATGCGAGACCCCAACTAACCCCAACCCTAACCCATAACTCAAGAGTGACACAGAGGAACTTAACTCTGATTCCAGATGTGAAATAGAACTAAAGCATTTATTGGAAAGCATATAAAAGTTATGTCATGATCATCAAAGTCTAGAATCAGGAGTTTAGGATGAGCATTGTGAAGTCTTGCAGGATTGAAAACCAAATTCCAAATTCCAAATTAATGTTAAAAATGAATCATTGAGATCTAACTATTTTCCCTCGTGACATTAAATCGTGTGTTTGCCATGATTGTTTCGACAGGTCAGCTGTATCAGCTCTGTGAGCCACTTTAGAGTTTAGGAAAGACGAGTGACGGCTCCTGATTTGGTGACTGTCACCTTTTCTGTGACAATGTAAGCAGACAAAGCAGCTAACCATTAGCTGCAGAAAACTGATGGGTGAATGAATTAGAGGATGGCAGTGTTTTATTCTCAGAATTCACTTTTAATTATTCTTTTTTCATCCAGTTGCAACAAAGAAGGTGGGTAGATGATCAACTGACTACTTAAAGCTAACAGATTTACCACGACAGTCCTGTAAATGCTGAGAGACGAACCTTCTAAAGACTTCAAACGCGTGGCGTGGTGAGGGGGGGATATTGCACTTAGGTGTTGCAGATTGTGTTGGCCAGTATCCTGTGGTTAGGACTCTCACTGTGAGATCGACCCCCCCGAGGGAAACCTAAAGTTTGGATAAAATAAACATGGAGGAAAACACAGGACGGAGAGATCAGTTCTATGGAACTGAGAACAGCGATGCTGTCAATCAGTCTTCTCACCCCAGTGGTCTGAAGGTGCTGTCTGAACTCGTCCATGGTGGTGTTGGAGATGCTCATGTCTCGAAACATGCCCTCCAGTTTGGAGGTGAACTGACAGCCACACTCCGTCTGAATGACACAGACCAGAAAAAACGGTTGAGACAATTCAGCTCAAATGTCTGCTTTTCTGATCAAAACAGCAAATAAACAGAAAACTCATCCAGATATAAAAAACACAAAGACATTCAACAACAACGAACATTAAATCAACCATTTCCTTTTGGGTAAATATGGACTTCACTCATTATCTTTGACCTCCTGCTCACCTTTAGCTTTGAGATCATGTTCTTTTCAGAGTCGTCAGAGACGCTCTTGTTGGTGAGCAACCTTCGAGCCAGGTGCTGCTTGTAGTACCTCTCAAACACGTCCTTCTCCTGCATGAAGCGGAAAAGCACCATGGCTTTGTCCAGTATGGACTCCACCTCCTGCTCCGTTAGCTGAGGAAAACACACCCACACACAACACAGGCTCAAACATTATATTTAGACTGACGTCCATGACTCCAACAGTTTTATCTAAAGCAAGTGCAGATCCATGCAAGGACTCACCCCTTTCACCCCCTTCTTCAGTTTATCATCTATGAAGAGTGAGAGGTATTCTGGGGAGCGAGAGTTCAGGTTGAGGAAGTACTCAAAATCCCCTGCTATGGTTTGTTTGAAGAGTCGATCGTTATTGAAAGACTCTTGGAGAAAGCGGTCAAAGCGGGACTTCAGATCCAACAAACCCTGCAAGACGGAGGCAGGAATACATTATGGAGAGGGGGTTAAACTGTTTGCAATAGCAGACATAACAAAGCATATTAAACAAGTTCATTCTGTCTTTGTTGTAAACCAATATTCCTTCTTTTCTCTTTGTAAGACAAGCATGGTTTTTAAGCTGTGTTTTCATACCTGCTGACAGTTTCGACTGAAGGTTTCGGTCTTCCTCAGAGCGTCATCAGACTTTCTGCCATCTAACATTTATCAGCTGGCTGGTCCCGCAGACCAGCTAAGCCTCCTCCAGATGGTTCTGGAGGATGGAGGGGGTAAACCCTCTGACACACCTGGGACTCCATCCTTCAGAATCGACGGCAGAAAGTCAGATGGCGCTCTGAGGAAAACTGAAGCCTTCAGTTTAAAACCACGTTTGTCTTGCAAAAAGAACAGAAGGAATATTAGTTTATAATAAAGCAATTATATTTCTAAGAGAAGTGAAGGGAAAGTTCCTGACATGTTTAGGTCTGCTAAGTCTACAAGAATGATTCTATGACCTAAAACCAGGCTGTATGTTTCCCTCGCATCATCTAAACACAGAATCCTCCTGCTGATGAACAAAAACACACAGGACTGTCATCGTACCTGGATATAATCTACTGGGTTCTTTCCTTCTCCCTCCTCTGACACCAGAGCCTTGCCTTGCTCTCTCAGGTAAGAACTCATACACTCACACATGGTCTTCAACCCATTGGGAACCCGGCTGAACAGCTTGTACATGCACGCTAAATCTGTAAATGAAGAAGCAGAAACACACAGTGCAAATCCATTTTTAGCCATTAGGCATGAAATGTGACGTTAGATACCCAGAAAAATTAAAAATTCTGTAGCATGAGATATGAACGAAGATTTTTGTTTACAAATGACCAACTCATGACTGCTGCATACCATCCGTCTTGCCATTCTTCAGCATGTGGACCAGGCCCGAGTTCTCCATCTCTACGATGGTTTTCATGTGTTTGGAAATGAGCTCGCGCTCCACCACCTTGACGATGGGCTCCTCTGTGGACTTATCCAAGCAGTGCATTACTCGCTCTATCTCCTCATTAATTCTTGCCTCCACCTTCTTTATGTACACACTGGCACTGTTTTCAGCAAGGAACTTTTGGCTCTCCATCTGATGGGGGGGAAGGGAAACTATATTTTAATATATTTCAGCAGCTTTAAGAATGATCTGTATTAGAATTTATTTACTTTCAATGTTATTTATACAAAATTCAACAACAACAACAACAAAAAATTAGCCTGAATCCCAAATAAAAAAAAAACATCTGGGGAATTTATAATTTCAGCCAAACCTGGAAAAATTCTGCCGACATTTCCAAGAACGGCGTTTCAAAGTCTTCTTCATAAACAGATCTCCCTTCCAGGCCGAGAATCATTAACATTTGGCAGGCGTTCCTAATGGCTCCTCTAGAGGAGGAGAGCAGCAAATGTTGATGGAACACTCAGAAGAGTAAAAAGGATAACTTGTAAGGATGCTCATTTATTAGTGCAGCTGCCAGCTATCCATTTAAATGTGATTTTATTGCAAAACCCAGATCTACGTCACAGCGTGAGATTCAGAGAAAATATCTTAAAATGTCAAAGAGGCTTTAAGGCTTCTTTTCAAAGACATAACTAATGTTCGTATACCTGTCCACCACCTCCCCCTTCCTCTCTCGAGCAATCATGTCCAGTAAGGTCTGTCGGAGGTGGTCTCTTATGCAGCCGTAGCGGACCACCTGGTCCCTGAAGATGATGAGCCCCAGGTTGTAGACGTTCTCTACATTATTCTGCTGTACATAAACACGATCCTGTAGAACAAAAAACAGGAGGGTTCAAGTTAGACCCATCGCATCTGATTAAAGCTTGGTTTATGCTTGACGCATTCACTTTCCGCGCGGTGATGCGGCTCGCGGATGGAACGCGCTTCACAACTCGCAGCATTTATGGTTCGTGCGGCTCGTCTCTGCGGTGAGCCAATATTCTCCCAAACTGAACGGGGCAGCATGGAGCTCTACGGCATGCACCCAACACTACACCATAGTAAAAGTAGAAACTACTGTTTACAACATGATATTTCAGCATTTTTAACAGCGTTCTCGTCTTTTCCAACAGTGCGAGCTATTTCTCTCCAAGAATTATTAACTACATGTTGATCACGGTGATCTCTGAGAGCTGAATCATACAAATGTCTGTATTTACGAACCTCTGCCATACTAGTTCTTGCCGGTCCGCCAAGTTTTTCCGCGTCCGTCCGTCCGCGTGGTTAGAAATTTTCCGAGGTGCACGTTGCGGAAATTCTGGGCCGTGCGGAGGCGCGGTGGAGGGGCGTGGTTGTTAAAATGACGCAAAATGACGCAACTTTTCCGTGCGGACCTCGCGGACGCGTCAAGCATAAACCAACCTTAAGTGATTCCATTAGCAGGTGGGTTTATTTATTTTCAGCTCGGCTGTTGTTAAAATGCATAAAATCACACCTGAAATCAGCTCCGTGTCAGATGATGCGTCAAACTGATTTGACATCACTGTTACATTGTCTTTATTTATAGCACTGAGATTTTAGCCACAGACAGGAAATTTGACGCTGCACAACAATGTTCTGCATGCACATCAGAGAGATTTTAATCCACCAACCCAGACATTTGCGCAGAAGTCTCAGCCTACACATTTTAGCATATTTTACTCACCATATACATCAGGATGTCTCTGATCATCACCATCGCCGTCTGATGATCATTCCAGGCCTGATTTAAGGTTTGAAGGAAGTTATTGTTGAGCGAGTTGAGGACATCTTCTCGTACCTTTGTGAAAAGCAAACAAAGGATGTATTAAAGCAAATGCTACAGTCTCAAGTGACTATATCATGCAAAATCAATGTTTTTGAGCCTTTGACCATGTTATATTATTATTGTTGTTGCTAGTGGTGCTCAGAGGGATTGGTGGTGCCAGTGTTCGGCAGGCCTCGCCTGTCAGTGCCCCCCAGGGCAGCTGTGGCTACATCGTAGCTCATCCCCACCAGCTTGTGAATGGGTGGATGACTGACTGTGTTGTATAACCCTATGAAGGCCCTATAGGCCATTTAACCATTTCCTCATCAGAAACACTCCTAAAGCGACTTTTGGCTCCATGCTCAAATTCTGCTGTCTCAGCCGCAGATCATCTCCTGATCCATCCAGCTATTAATGATTAAATGTAAACACTCACACCCACTCTCTCCATGACCGAACCTCCGTAGTTTTAAAACAGTGATATCTTTCTTTTCTAGTCGGCACTTTTTGATCATGCCTAGCACGTGAAAATGTGGTTTTGACTCTGAGAAGTACAGGAAAGTGTCCAGTCTTCCTGAAGAAGAGTTTAATCGCCACAGATGGTTGGATTTTATCTTCAGCAGCTCTCAAAAACCAAGCCAGAATGTGACCGACAGATCATTTCTTCAACTGGCACCATTACAACATTAAAACACCTGATGCAGAGGCTAAAGTGGTGGGTACAACCAAAATGCTACTGCTAGCTGAATGTTTAAAATGTTGACTTAGCAATAATAAATCTGTGTGCACAATGTGGTAAAAACATTTTAGTTTAAAAGTGAAATGTTTTATTGTCTCATGAGTCTTTGGTGTGCTGCCAAAGCTACCCTCTTTTTCTTCATGGTCCATGATGCTTTGCTGGGGATCTAGGATTACACTACAAAACGAGTGGAATTCACACAGGTGGAGGCAGGATTTCATTGAATCCAAGAATCTTATAAAGTCTCAATAAAAAAAACTTGTATTTCAGAACAAATTATGTCTCCATAATGCCAATGGTAATATTTTAATCACATATAGTTCTGTCGTCGCTCTGAAAGGTGTAAAACTACACGATACAGTTCCTTTAAAGTTTATTAATATTGAAAATCAAGCAGACATTTGGTACAGCCTGGTATTTTGACACTCTTTGTAGCACTTTTTATAGGTTCTTTCCCTCTTACTAGTCAGGTTTACTACAGCTTCATAATAGTGACACTGCAGTGTGACTCAGTACCGTAATCCAACTGTATCTAGGGCACAGTAACCTCTATTTTTCTTCCCTCAAAGAAGAGAAGATGACTCATTATTTGTACTGCCATCTTACATCAACGCAACGTCACAAAAGCTCATTTCCCTCCCATCTTTGCACATTTAGATTAAACAGAGGTAGAGAAAATAGATCGTGATAAGGCTATTACATTTTGTTGTGTCTGTTTCTAATACATTTATTCACAGATGCCTTCCAACAGAGAAAATTCAAACATCTAAATTAGGGATGGGTACCTTTGACATTTGAATCGATACAGCACTTAACAGTAACAATTTTTGATACTTTTGTGTGTTTAATAATTATATAAATCACTTTTTAAATTAAATATATATTATTTTCCCAAAATATAACCATATTCAATCAATATCATGATAAATTACATACAACTGCTTGTGCGTTAGCATCGTAGTGTACAAAATTCTTTAATGTGAAAACCTTTAACAACTGTTTCTAAATGATGCAAAAACAAACTCAGCTCCATGCACTCCCAATCCTCTTCTATGCCCTCTGGAATAACTATGATGAGGAGACGATGTATTATAAACTACAGATGAAACTAAAACAAACTTTGATACAACTATTCATATATTAATATTGTGGTGATTCACAAACTAAACCCAGCTCCACGTACTCCTTTCCCTCTCCTTTCCCCTCTGGACAAACTGTGTGATGGTGGGTATTTGTAGTTTTTAAACTGAAAATGACACTGAAGCAAACTTCTTTGCTGTGGACTAAATTTATTGTGTATCTTCATTCCTTTTGCCGTTCATTTTCAAACTTTCAAACTGTTCATTTTCAAACTATTTTTCCTACTCGGAAGTTGGAATTTCCGAGGAGAAAGCAAACACACCATTAGCTGATCGCTATGTAAACAAAAGCTAAACTATCAAGCTAACGTTATCTTAAACAGTTTATTTTGCTGCTGGAGCTGATTAAGATGCCTCATAGTTCGATTGTTGTCGCTGGTTTCATCATCACCCAACAGCCCATCGCATTTAATGAAGTGAAGCCAAACTTTAGAGCGTGTTCGCTTTCTTCTAGTCGGGTTTTCAGAGTTCCGAGGAGAAAGCGAGATTCTGGACTTTTGCCTCAGACAGGTTCATGGATGCATCGCCACATTGGTGACAGGAACAAGCCAGGGGCGGCTGGTCCATAGGGGCGATTGGGGTGACGCCCTCCCAAGAAAAAAGCAGGTTTTTTTTTCCCACGTGCTTCTCATCATTGCTGTTCAGGTCCACCATTGTGGTTTGCTTGTCTGCGTTGTCCAACCAGTTTGAGCCCTCCCTGCTGGGAGTTTCACCCTTATGGGGCAATCCTATTACTGATCGCCCCCTATCGCCCTCATTGAAAGTAATGTAAATGCTTTCCCCCGACTTCCCAGAGCAACAACGCAACTTCTAGGGGCTGGTGGGATGTCTCCCTATATGCATACGTCACGCATTACGGCCCAATACAGGTGGCGTTAAGGGCACGCTCAGAGCGGCAAACCATTTCCATCATGGCGAGCTGCCGGAGCAACACTGTTGTCTCTTTGAAAGAGTTTCCATTTATTCATCGTACCAGCGCGGATAAAATGGCAACAAAACTGTTAGGACCACCAAGACCAAATCTCAACATCAAACAAGCAGCAGTTAAAGGCGGGAAATCCTACAATCGAGGATTTTCAAGAAGGTGGTATGACCAGACAAGCTGGCTCACGGGCTGTGAGACAGCAGGGTCACTGTTCTGCTTCCCAAGCCTGCTGTTCAACCCAGATTGCGCCACGGCGGCCCACAGCTCGTGGACGACCACAGGAGTCACCGACATGCACCATCTGGCTGAGAAGGTGAAGAGACACGAAGCGTCAAAGATCCACATGGACAGCTGCTTCAAGTTTTCTACTTTCGGATGAGTTAATATCGCCGAGCTAGACAGCAGCTACTGCCTTGCAGTCTGCCGCCATAACGAGGAGGTGAGCAGGAACCGACATCTCCTTAATCACCTCATAGACTGTGTCAAATTTTGTGGCATGTTCGAATTAACCTTGCGGGGAAAAGATGAAAGCGAAGGCTCAAAGAACGCAGGCATTTTTCGGGAATTATTGGACTTGGAAGAGGTGTTTGAGAAGCACCTGAAAAAAGCGACTGTTTTCAAGGGCACGTCAAAAACTGTTCAGAACAAGCTGCTGAACAGCATGCTGGTGGTCGTCAGGAAGCGCATTACTGAGGACGTCATGGCAGCAAGATTTGTTGCCATCCAAGCTGATGAGACCACCGATGTGTCAACACAGACGCAGCTCGTGCTTGTGGTTAGATACATCGACGCACAGCATGCAGTGCGGGAGCGCTTTTTTGAGTTTCTCCCTGTTGTGGATTCGACGGCCAACTCTATCGCCAGTGTGCTTTTGGACAGACTGATCACCCACTTTCCTGATGCTCACAAGGAGAAGCTCATCGCCCAGGCTTATGATGGAGCCAGTGTGATGAGAGGTGAGCAGGCCGGGGTCCAGCAAAAGGTGCGCGAGCATTTCCAAAATGCTCATTATGTGCATTGCTATAATGCACATCAGCTCAATCTGATTATGCAGCAAGCAACCTCAACCATCCCTGCCGTGAAAATATTTTTTTCTGGTCTGAGCGGCATTGCCAGCTTTTTTGTCCGCTCGCCCAAACGCACCAGCATTCTGGATGAGGTGGTCGCTAGAAGGCTTCCTAGAGCTTGAGCCACAAGATGAAACTTTAACAGCAGAACTGTCAACACTGTGCATGAGCACCTAGAAGACCTCATTCAGTGTTTTGAAAACATCAACTCATCTGGTTCTTTTGACGGCAACACAATGAGAGAGGCATGTGGGTTTCTCAGGATGCTGCAGGACGAGGATTTCCCGGTTTTTTTGCAGCTGTTTAGTAAAATTATGCCTCACGTGGACATCCTGTACAAGAAACTGAAGAAGAAGGACAATGATGCAGTCTTCATCAAGCACGCCCTCCAGATTTTCATGAGCAGTGTTGAGGCAATAAGGTCAAATTATTATTATTATTTGACATGCGTATTATGTCTAATTTTTTGTTTGCTCTGACATTTGGATTTACCAAAAGGCATTATTGGTCTTTCCTCAGGCAGTCATCTCAACAGCAGCAGCAGGAGGCCATAGAAACCACCACCAGAAGGAAAACAGCCTTGGGAGAGGACGAAAAGCAGAGGCTGTGGGAGAAGATCTGCGACACCATCCTGACTCACACCAGAGAGAGGTTCTCCTTCACGAACCATCTGGTCAGTGCCACACTGCTACAAACAGAAATGTTTGAGCAGCACTGCCACACATTTCTTACGGGTGCTCTGAATACCACGGAGGAGGCATACCCCATGCTCAGCAAGAACAAACTGAAGAAAGAACTATCTCTGGTCTATGAGAACCCTGAGTTCACGAGCTGCTGTGGTGCGCTGGCGTTGTATCAGCTTCTGATGAGATACAACACCCAGGACACGTTTTCTGAGACTGTCGCTTTGATGAACATCCTCATCACAACCCCAAAGACGACAGGTGAGGCTGAGAGGTGCTTCTCAACTCTCAAAAGAATTAAGACATTTCTGAGAAATTCAATGGGCCAGTAACGCCTTAATGCACTGGCCATGCTGTCCATAGAGAGGGAGCTTGCCTGGTCCATGCCTGACTTCAATGAGAAGGTCATCGATCACTTTGCTGCTTTGAAAGACAGACGAGCAAAGTTTGATAACAAATGAACGGGTTCCATATCTTTGC